TTGTTATAACTTCAAAATGGAAGTTTTATCCTAAGTGAAAGATACTCTTACATGCTCTGTTGGACACCCTTATACTGAGTAGCTTTGTAGACCACTGTGTTCCTTTCAGTATGTAAAATTAGTTTTGTTTTTTAGCAGATCGTGAATAGAAGATTGTCCATTCTCTAGAGTCTGTGAATCACATTTTGTCTTGGATTTGTTTGTTAATGGAAAATCCTCTAAAAGAATAGTTTTCCTTTTTCTTTTTTGTCTTCTTCATTTGCTTGTTTTGTTTTATTTTAACTTGGAAGCACCAGTTGTTTGCTTAGGGGACTGACAGTCAGTTGGGTGAAATCAGTGTTTGAAAGAAGTGGCTGGCAAAAAAGCCCTGTGCAATATTAATGTGTTTAGGAAAACCACTGGAAACAAAATGGGTTTTGCCTCTTTAAATGTATATTTATATATAGCTTTAAGTGGTTCATCTTACTTTGTATGTGCAACACTTGTTTTTAATTTTGTGTTATCAAGAAAGCTGCAGTAAGAAGTCACTAATTTAAAAAATGTCATTTGAACTTGAATGATGGATATCCAGATTGGCAACGCAGAGGAAGAACACAGAGGAGATTTCACTGTGCAAAACCTGAGCCATACGTATTAAATACTGATTATGGTGTTTCAATTCTTTGGAAAAAAACCCTAGTCTATCATATTGAATATATAATATTATAGCTATGGTGCTTGTTCATCTCTCTCTTCAGAGATGATGGGGTGAAATTTCACAGTCGTATTTTACATAATGTCAGAGAGCTTGAAGCTCAGTCTGTGCTACGTTGTGGTTCCCCTTTTGTCTTGGGCTGTCTGTTCCAGCTGTGTTGGTTGAGAGGCTGTTTCAAAGGCGGTCCCTTTGCACTCACAGTGGGCAAGGTGGGCTCTGTGTGCTGCTTCTGACAGGTGCAGCACAGGGAGGGGAGGGTGATTTCTGGCCACTGTTTATCCAGTTGCTGGTACAGCCCCAGCAGTTGGACTAGAACGATGGTGTTGGTTCCAACGACAGCACAGACTTGTTTTTCTCCTTCTCCCAAGCCAGAAGTCCTTATCCTCCCAATAAGGACTGTATTTAACAAAACTACAAAATGACTGTCAGAAATGTGTTTTTTCCTCCTTTGAGCGTTCACATACATTTGTTGGGGTTTTTTTCTATTACAAAAAAAAACCCAGCCTTGCAGTGTGTGCAGTTTATTGGAAGAACTGTTGAACTTCTCTTGAGTTTGTTTATGGCTTGGGATTTTGAACATGTTTGTTACTGTTGTTTGAAATCAGCACCTGAGTCTTCGCAACTCTTTTTGCAGTTTCTCAGAGATTTATTCCTACACACAGACATTATTTTGAACTTCCCAGTGTCAGCTGCTTCTGAATCAGTCTCCTTGCATGTAGCACAATTTCAGGAAATCATACTGAAAACAACTGGGAAATGCTGAGTGAACGGTTCTCTCACAGTCTTGTGACACAGAGAAGTCAGTGAGTACATTAAATTCCAGATCTAGGAGCATGTGATGGTGGAGGGAGTGGTAAAAGTGTGGTTGCATGGTTCTCTGAAGAACATGTAGCATGGCTCCAGAGCCATGTCAGGGAAGCCAAGTGTCCACAAAATTGTACATATGATGAGGACTGTAATATTTATATCTCCTCAAGGAGAGAGCACTGCATTAAATGTAAAGCTACTGTAAAAAAATCTGTCTGCTGTACTTACCAGCCTTGCTGAAAAGCTTCAGTAAGTGTCCTTAATATAAGCTGAGTTTGATTGGAGTGATGTTTTTCTATTTCTTCTGTAAGCTCAGGTTCTTTTTCAGTATAAATAGTCATGCATCTGAAACATTTGAACTGGTATTCATCTGCTGTTTCCCTGTCTGAGAACCACTATCTGATCAAACCAATATTTTTTAATTATGTATTTATAGGCAGATGGGAGAATAGTTTACAGTCAATGTATGATCTTCTCTGCAAATCTTGGAATATTGTGTTGGGTTTTTTTTTTAATATTGCCTTATCAGTTTCTTTTTTTTATTACTGATGACTTCATTCTGTTTGAATTCAATGCTTCAGTTTCTTTGGGGTAAACTAATAGATTATGTATGCGATATTTGCACAGTGCTGATTGAATTCATCTGGTGAGTTTGAATGTGGTTCATATATTCACATAATTGTCAGGAGCCAAGTTGAAATTCAGAACTGTTTCATGAGCATTGCACAGGGCATCATATTTATCTCACTTTACTCAGGAGTGGGTAAAACTCCCATGGTAAGTTAGAATGCAGCTCTTTCAAAAGCCAATGTCTTTTACGTTATAAACTGGTGGAGAAAAAAAAGTTGTGACGCTTTAACTGTATCCTGAAAATATTAAGTGGATGTACTGAGAAGCCCTCTTCCTACCTGTTTCCCTTCACTTTTCTAACAAATTCTGAACTTACTGGCCATTTTTGACCAGACTTGACTGGTCACTTGATGTTCAAGAGATACTGGAACACAAAGTTACACTAACTGCAAATAAGCAGCCTGCTAGAGAGGCCTGGTTAAATGTTCTTGCTGGGGAGAAACACTGCAGTGAGAACCATTTTCAGACACGAGAGAACCCACAGGAGAGAAGCGCAGGAAATCAGACTTCACGGAGCTGCTTGCTTCCACAGAGATTACGCTTGTGTTTTCACACTAATCCAGATGGATAACTTTCCATGTGCTGCTATCTTTCATTCAAATATTCCTACTCATTCTCATGGTTTGTAGTTTAATACTGCATGGCAGAGGTTTGCCAAAGCAAAATCTGTCAGGCCCTGTCTTGTAATATATGTAATCAGCTTGAACTCTGCAGCAGCACTGGCTCAAAGGGTTTGAGCAGAAGGAAGTTCACCTACAGGAGATCTACAGTCAGTGGAGCACAATATATCAATCTCAGATTTAATTTTAAATGGGGGGAGGGATCCCCCAATGTGTGTGGTATTTTCAGATTGCCCATTCAGCCAAAGCACCTGCTGGTAAAAAGTGGGTTAGACCACTATGGGTGCTATACAGTTTGTGGAGAGCTGCAGTGAGCCAGATTGGCTGGAATCAAACTAGACCTATTGCCTGTTTCCCTCTTAGTGTGTTTTCTTCTTAGCTGCTTTGGGCAATGTTGCTGGCAAAGCAACAGGGACAATACTTGGAGCCTTATCTGTGTGTTAGCAGCCCTCATTACACACTTTATCTGTACTCACAAGTAATGTCAGGGGATTTCATAGGTATTGTACTGCTCATGAGCTATGGACCAAGCTTCACTGTTCTAAGTGATAGTCCCCATTAGCTAGACCTCAGTTTCAGTGTTTCGAAACTGGAAATGGTTCTCCACTATTTGACAAGATTTCATGCAAAGAACAGAGGCATTTATCTGTGGAAGGAACAAAGGTGAAGAGGGAATATACTTTTTTCCCCCTCAGTAGTCCACAGAGTTTGTGCAAGCTTTCTGCTCTGTCTTGGCAGACCATGAGAAAAAATTCATGCGCTCTGGAAGATTTCAGTAAGTCAGCCAGAGAAGCCTGAAACCTCTGGGACTTTTTAGAGTGGATGGATAACTTGGGCTTCAGGAAAGGAAGTCATTTGATTTTTCATGGAAACATATTGATGCTGCAAGTAACCATTTCCAATCCTAACTGCATATTCAGTTGCATTTGCAGCCTACATGGAATTTCTAATTGGTAGTTAATTTCCAACCAGTCTAGATTGCTGATACATACTAGAAACTAAGTATTATTGAACTGATGGGTTTATGTCCAATATTTTGTGTGTGCTGCCCAAATTTATTTTGCTATGCAAATCCTATCAAGGGCTTCCTTAGATTCTGGCATACTCATAGTGGAGCATGACGTAGCAAGATGCTCCACCAAGTCTGTGCTCGTGTGAACAAATCTCTGTCTCTGAGGCAGAGTTAAGGTTGTAGATTAAGAGAATATATGGTGATGTGCTGCAATAACAATGGTCTGAGTTTAGGAGCAGCCACAAATTAATTGTATAATTAATAATTCCCTGTGAGTGCCAGTAAATGCTACTTAGCCATACAGTCACTACTCACCCCAGTGCTGACTACAGCAGGGCTGGAAATAGCTGCAGGAAGCTTTTAATTTATTAATTTTAAATATGACCAGTTTTTTGAATTCTTAGTCATTTTCAGGATTTTATTTAATGCTTCCTGGTTATAGCTTGAGCTTCCACAGTTGTACAAGCTGTAAGGTTTTAGAAAGCTCACTAGGGTCAAAACCCACAGAAAGGTACGTGTTTGACTTGGTAAACTAAGCAACTGCAGTGGATTTACCAGAGCAGTTTGCAGCATATGCAGTTCTGCATACAAGTGATTCTTTGTGGATTACTAAGTGAATTACTGTTTAATTACCATTTTAAAAAGATGGTGTCAAGATTTAATAGTGTGCTTTCCCATCTCTTGCCTGCCCTGGATTTTCATGGTTGATGTTTGAGTTCTTTGTATACTTGGGAGGTAGTTTGGGGTTTTTTATGAGGAAAAACTTTTCTGTGTTTCTATGTGAATAATAGTTTATTCTTTATCTAGAACATATGTAATTTTAGGGAAATTCCACATTTAGCATGGGAACAAAGGAAAACATTTTTTGGCAGCTTATCATCATCATCATCATTATTAGCAAAATATGATGGTCATTTATAGCTGCTCACAGGAATGTTAAAAGTTTTCTTGTGCTCCCCCATCTGTCTGCATCCATCTGTTGTCTCTTGTCTTGTACTGGAATTGCTAAGTTCTTTGGACAGGGATGGCCTTTTATAAAAACAGAGATCAAGTTTACAATTAGCAGCTTTGTCAAAAAAATAAAGCAAAAATAAGGCTGATATGGGCCAGTGGGAACTATGCAAATCAGGAAAATCGAACACAATCCCTTTGTCTCAGGTCTGGCAATTCTCTGTGTACCTGGTGTCAGATATGTGTGTTCATAGGAGTTTTATTTAGCTTTTTTTTTTCCCCTCAGTGGCTGCACAGGTGGTGGGAATGCTGATCGCATCCAGAGGCTGCGGAAGGAGTACCACCAGGCCCGGCGGGAGGGCTTGCCTTTCTATGAGGACGACGAGGGAAGGATGCAGCTGTCTGACTATGACCAGCGCTGGGTAGGTCCACGGTGGGATCCAAAGTGCTTCTGCAACGTTCAGAGTTAGCAGAAGGTGCTGTTTGTGTTTTCCAGAAATCCTGTATCAGTGGAACATGAATTTAGGGAATTCATAGAAATGGAGAAATCCCTAAAGCCAGCCCACAAAAGAAAATACTAATGATGAGAACTTGGCTAAAATTAACTTGTCTGTTCACTGTATTTGATTTAGACCCAGGTTTCCTCCATTAAACCAAAGACAGAGAGACACTGCCAAACATTGTTATGTGTGGTAGCATCAAGGCTTTTCAGATGGATTTATGGTACTCTGGCTGTTCATCCAGTGAGTCTCTGGATTAACCAAGAGCATTAGAAGATCAGACTCTCATTGTCCTTAGATGCAAAGTGAGAGGGAGGAAATAGAGGCATGTCTGTCCTACCTTTCCTTCTGCACATGGGACAGTAGAAATCTGGCCATGTTACAGCCTATGTAATTTTTATAAAGTGAAAAATGAAGTAATTTTCTCCCCTGCATCAAATTTCTTAAAATATTCTACGAACACCAAAGAACTGTTACAGGCATGGTGTATTCCCTGTTTTACATCTAGGACTTACACTACACAGAAACATACTATCTACCCCACTACTGAAGAGTAACCTATAACTTGTAGAAGAACCAGAGATTGAATTAACAGTGCCAGATTTTTAAATGTGTTAAATAATTGCAACAGCCATAGTCCATGTGTATTCAAGAGCTCTTCCTGAGCAAGTTCTGAACTTGGACTCTGTCTCTTTTGAAGTAATTATAATCAACCAGCATTCAAAAATGTAGCTTTGATAAAATGCAATTTATGCTAAATTCAAAATTTTTGTTTAAAAAAAGACAGAATATGTAAAAAACTTAAGAATCTATATATGTCTGAAGTTTGAACTAACATTAGTTTTAATGTCCCCAAACTATTGATGTGAATGCTGAAGTGAAATTTGCAATGACTGCAGCTATAGTACAAAAAATCCTATGCAAGAGTAGACTTTATTGAAATCACAGAGAGATACAGAGTTTAAAGGGGTGTTTTTACAGAAATGATCATATATATTTGTTCATTAACTCCAAAATTGTTGTTGTATATACTGTTCTGATTCAATTATCAAAAGTGTCATCTTCAGTGAAATAATTCTTTCCTTAAAGCAGTTAACTTTAATCCACTGCCTTAAATTTTGTGACCCAAATGTGTGAGTCAATGCCACCTGCCATTCTTCTTCTGAGTTACTTTTGTAAACTGAAATAGGAATATGCATCAAATGTGTCTTCCCGTTGAAATTCTGTGTTGTGATAAGTGTCCTGACAGGCCTCAGACTGAGTCAGTGCAACCTCTTCAGCAGCCTGGGGATTTCTACTTCTTATCTGAAACTGATAAAGCTTTATTAATGTTCAGATGAGGCTGAGATTTATGATCCAGTGTAGTTTCACAAGATTCACAAAGGTTTCTTCTAGGTAATCCTCTATAAGCCTTTCCTGTTGGGTGTAATGCCCAGAGATTACTGATTTCCAAAGCTTTGCTTTTCCCGTGAGACATGTTGTCCTTAATCAAAGCACCTGAAAGTGTGCTTAAAGTACCTCAATCTTGAAATGATTTCACCAGGATTGTTGCTTTTTGTCCTTCCAGTGCATAATATTTGTAAGCAGTTTTGTTGTGAGGAATGGCAGTCTGCTCAAAAAATCAGAGTTTACCTTGAAGTCTTTAGTACTCTGAAGTTTGTTGCTGCAACAGTTCTTCTTGTTGAAGTAGTTTATAAACTTCAAAGGCTTCTGGTCTCTTCATTGCAACAATATCACCCATTGATTCATCCAGCCCTGCTTTCATAGACACTGTCTTTCAGTCTGGAAAATACTGCAGCCACAACTTGCTCTCTTCCAACTCAAGGCCGAAAGTTCTACTCCTGGGTGTAGTTTTACCCTTGAAATACCTGTGTTACAATCCACAGAGATAGAAAAGGAGGAACAAAAATAGAATCAAGATATTTAAAAGAAAACAAATGTCTCAAAGCATCTTGCCAGGAGAGTCCTTAAGATAGCTTTTAAGCAATGCCATCATTCCCACCTCGGGCAGCTGACCCTCAGCAGTGCTGTGGTAACACAGATTGAACAACAGCTGATTTTTTTCCACCTTTACTTATCAGTGAAGAGACATGCCGATGACTAATTGCATAATTGCGAATAAATAAAAACTTACTCTAATCTTCAGGATGTCAAGTCTTTCTTTAAAGAGACAACAGACAGCTGAGGAGGAGGAAAACCTTCTGGTAGAAGTTTTCTTTCTTCCCACAGGAGGTTATGGCACCAGGGAAGCTGCAGCTGGGAAAGAGATGCTGGGTCTCTGTATTTTTAAGACTCAATTAGTCCTTTCCTTACTTTCCTCAGTCAACTGTTTTACCTAAGCCAACTTTCTTGTAAGATGTCTTTCTAATGTACAGCAGCTGCTGTAATCACTTCCCACCATCTCATGAAATACACAGATAAGTTGGAAAAAGCAGAGGATAATTCAAGAAGACACTACACCATCACAAATCAGCAGCCTCAAAAATGGACTCTGGGTCTTGTCCTCCAAAAGAGTATCTGAGAACTCATGAGGCAAATTTGTATCTGATAAAGCTGACATTGACAAGTGGCCTTTAGCTGACACTGTAATGGGACAGAATTTCTAATAGAAGGGGGTATTTCTAACAATCTACTTTTTTTAAGTGGGATAAATCAAGTTAAAGTGCCGAGCCGGCTGAAAAGCTAGCATTGTAAGGGAAAATGATCTCATGACAGGCAATTGGGATCCATAAATGTTTTAAAAATAAGGTCAAAAATTCATTTTAAATAGGCTTGCTATTCTCTCATCATCCATTCCTCCCCCCTGCATCCATTTTCCAATTCTCCTCTGTTCTTCTCATCTGTTGCTGGATTAATTTTTTGCTCTCTTGCGCCTTCATTCTGCTTTCTCGTCCCCACAGTCTATTTCTTTTCTTTTTGTAAGGAACTGAATAATTCAGTTTAGTGTGTTTCCATAAACAGACAAATGTATATGGCACTGTCTCTGCTATTGAGCCAGACCCTTTAAAATTATTTTCCTATTCCATTGTGCTTTGGTTTGTTCTCAAGTTTTGCATCCTTTGGACTTTCTGCCCCCCCCCATCACCCACCCCCTCTTTTCAGGTTTATAACTAGGATAAATGATGAACCAAATTTTGTATGGTGGATCACAAGGCTTAAAATAAACCTCAGCTAGTTAGCCAAAGGACAGGCTGATAATAAGTATAAATATTGTCTAGGAAAATTAATGCTTTTTGTTGTCAGTGTAAAATGAGATTACCCTAAAATTTTCTGACAGCTAGGGAATATTGGGATGTATCAGCTCTGAAAAGGGTTTAGGCATGTGCATACATGCTCATGTCTTAGTGGGACATCAGATATTCAAAGCACTCACGAAGATACCAAATAAAAACCTAATCCAGGTCTCCCAAATGAGGCAGATGTTTATGTAGTGTTATCATGGCTGCAATATCAGACCCTGAAAGAACTGTGTAAGAGTAAGCTGCAAGAACTTAGTCTCTCTAGGAGCTGGAAGGCTTTCTCACAGGCAGTCTTTTTCAGGGCTTTAGAGTCACAGCCTAATAGCAGATCATGAGAAATAGCTAAGGAGCTGTCAAGAGAAAGCCATGCAGTTAGCATCTGCACTTGTATTTAAGTGCATTTAAATAATGAGGAATTAATCATCTATTTGAGGATTTACTTGGATTGTCTTACAGACTTTGTACAAATCCAGTTACTTAAAACATCAATTCTTTCCTTCAGGATGGCAGTAAATCCTTGAAACTTTATCTTTTTAATGCACATTCAAGGACTGCATGTAACACAGGCCACATTGCAAATAGTTCTTCACCTGTTAGGGACCACATCAGCTTCACCGCACAGAACCTTGGGTTAACTGCTTCTAAAAGCCATTTCCTTATTTGCAGATCAGATTTGCAAGCTTGTAAATAACCTAAAGATACAAGAAAACCTGTCCCTGGAAACTGGCTGTGAACCTTTCAATTGAAACAAACCTGTAATGTATTGAGTTTTGTCAGCTCCCAGTTGAGAGTAGGAAAAAAGAATCATGCCTGTGTGTGTTAAAGGCCACGTACTTTATTGTGTGCCTGGCAGGATTCCAAGCCTAAAAATCAACGAGAACAAAGAAAGGAGCATTAATAACTGCATTATTTTTCCATAATGTGTCAAAGGGTTCTGCGCTTCCTTCAGGATGAATAAGGAGCTGTTTGTACTTTTCATGATCAATTAATTCCAGGTTCAGGATGTTGCATTTCAAATAGGTTAGGTTCCTAAAGCACACAAACGTTTGTGTTGGACTATGGTTAGAAACCAGAATTCCAGCTTCTAGAATAGTAACATTCCTGTCTTCTAGCGCAATGGGAGAAGCTGACAATTTTATGTGAAACATATAGCAGAAACTGATGCAAATTCCAGATTTTCTGAGTCCACAGACTATTAGTAGAAAACATTAAATAAAAAAAAAATAAGAAAAAAATAAGAAAAATACAATAACGTATTTAACATATAGCTGCTTTGAAAAATCCAGATTGGAAGTATTAGTTGTCCGTATACTTATTAAAAGAGTACACAAATCATTTTATTAAAATGTATGATTAACTTACTGATCAAGAACTTCTTATGGTCCCAACTTATCTCTGCTTAATGAAGGTTTCTGTTTGGGAGGTATTGTACAGAGCTCCTTCTAACTAAGCAGAGCAATTTTGAAATCTACAGGCCAGCTTTTGGGGGTAGTTTAGGGGAAAATTATTTGGGAGAAATCCCTGCCAAACCTCATGTGAAAAATAAACTATTCCAAATGTCACATGTAAGGAGAGCCAAATTCAATTCCATTAATACTAGTAATAAAGAGTGACTTCTATAACTTGTTTGGAATCATTCCTACTTATACAAAGGTTAGATTTGGCACAGATTATCTGAACCAG